GGGGTTCAAAAGTGCTCGAAAACGTTGCCGCGGACAATGGGCCTCTACAGTACTAGGCTGAAGACTCCGGTCTTAAGCAGCTGTTCCAGTGCCCCATTGGCCCTTAGCGGGTCGGACTTCGTCATCGAGTCTGCCAGCATTTTCTGGCAGGGAACCCACCGCACGGAAGAGCGGGTGTCTTGTAGATCTTTGACAATAATTGCAAGCTCAAGGGAACTCCACCTGTCTTGTTTGCCTTGAGGGTGTTCTTTTAGCAAACAATCATACAATGATTTCGCATCAGTGACTGTACACTGGGGCCTCCAAAGTCTCAGCTCGCAGTCACTGCGCATGATGATCATGTGGGGCGACAGGGAGTTCCTCCAAGAGCGAAGCTCAACATCGTGAGCCGTGGCATCTCGGATCATGATCTGGATCCAGGCCATGCGCTGTAGCATGGCCTGCGTCTCCCCTCCGAACGTGGAGAACACTTTGCGTCTTCGAGCTGCGCCAGGCAAGAGGTGAGGCTCGGACTTGACGCTTTCCCAGAGGAAGCTTCTCAGCGATCAGCACCAGTAAGGAACCCACTCTGGGCAACGGTCAATCCTACTTTCTCAAGAGAGCACACCTGAACCTGAGCCAACTCCTTCAAAGTCTCGCCGTCGTCCTCAGATGGTTGATGTTCTTGTTGATTGTGAGGATGTCGTCCACGGTGGCCGTCTTAAGCTTGCTTGCCATAATGCTCGCTAGCCCGCTGAGTTCCGGCCTGGTCTTCTTCGCTATCCAATTGATCTTTTAGACGGATGACCTCATGGCTTGAAACTCCTCGTCGGTAAGCGTCGCCTCCTTCTGGGCCTTCCGGTGCTTCGCAAGAGGAATCGGGAAGATCTGCTCAGTGATGTACTTGTGCTGGTCGATCAGAACCCTGTCGTTGAGGCACTGAACTTTCCGACCAGCGTACTCTGCAGCATCCTCTTCCCACTTATCGAACTCGAAGCGTGCGGAGAGCAGGTCTTTGATCTGCTGCTGCACCTCGGGCTTGGCACTGACAATAAAATCGTCTACTTCAATGAGGATTTGTGCTTCGTTTTCGCCATTCTTGTCGAATCTCATGTACCAACACGGCTCCACCAAGTTGCGGACGAAATTATTCTCGGTGAGATAATTCACCACAGTGTTCCTCCATGCTGCTGGGGCATCATCGAGCCTGTGTGCTGCGCGAAGAGGGGGCCTCGCGGCCGCTTCAACGGATCACTTTGGCAGAACGCATTCCGGACATCTGCGAAACTGAATCTGTGCTCGAGCCCGAGACCGGTGTGCAGGAAAGCCATGATGCCTTCTGTCGAGGGAGTTGGAGAGAATGTAGTGAGGTGAGCGGTATCGGGGTCCGAGTGTCCCGCCACACACCATCTGCTTTTCGCTTTCCATTCATTGATTCCCGGAAGGAGCTTTCGCCGCTGCACCATGCGCGACGCCAAGATGCGGTCCGGGTATCTTCTTGCCGTACGCGACGCGCACGGCCTTGGTCTTGAGGATGGCCTCCCACTCGATCTTGTCGCTCGCGTCGAATTTGAGCTTCTCCTTCTGGCTGAGCTGAGCATCTTAATGTCAATCTCATCGCTCCGGCTGGCGACCAAAGTCCAACCAGAAGCCGCGCGGTGACAGAACCAGGATGTCGGACGAGCTGGCTCCTGTGGAAACCTCTGTCCTGGGCGCTTTGGCAGCTCGATCCGGCACCTCGGGTTCCTCCGCTATTGAGAGATCTCCGCCCTCGCCCTGTCCTGCTCCACGGTAGTCGACACTGATCTCGGATTCTTGGACAGGCTCTTGTATAGAAGATCTCCAGGAAGCTTCGTGGCCTGAGACTTGCTGGGCTGCAGGCTCCTCCGGGATTGGACCTAGTCGCCTCTCCAATCCCGGTGGCACTTCTAAGGCGTCCTTGAAGCTCCTTGGTGATGTCCACTGCGCCAGCGTGGTTTCTGGAGACAACCTTCCGCAGCAACTCTCCGAGCTGAGAATCTGAGGCTATCTGACGTCCCAACACTTCCGATGGGAATGCCGCTCGCTCGGAGCTGCTCTAGTGAGCAACGCCACAATGCTTGAACTCGGTGGCCACCTCGTCCATGCCTGCCGGGTCGTGGAAAGCGTCATTCAGAACCGGCAAGCCAGTCTCGTCCGAGGTTAAGAAGTTCCCCAGGTACTCGGAGAAGTCTCCGAAGACCATCGGTCCTTCTTAAAGCTGACTATGCCCTGTCTCGAATCCAGCTCCTGCGTGAGCTTCTGCTTTAGCCATCCTCATCCGCCGTGCCTTTCGCACGGAAGTTCTGCCACGGACTCTCTGGCGCAGTAAGCACCTTGTTAAAACTGAAAATCCTCGCACATTGTGCTCTCCGGCGGGGGTCGGCACCGCGCTTCACGCTGCAAGTCTCGCATCGAAACTCATCTCGCACGCAGCGCAAGACATGTGGCAGGGTGCCTGCTGCTTTCAGGGTCCTGAGGAACCGCTCAAGAGGTAGGTGACCGGTGTTTATGTGCAGCTTGCGAACCAGGTCCTTTTGATGCTGTGACACTCGCGGCTCTGCTTCATCTGGGCCGTTGCGCTCCGGACGATTCAGCTCCTCGACATTCTTCTCGTCCAGCTGGATCGATCTCGTCCATGGTGGAGACGGGAAAGTTAAGGCGCTCCTGGGAGACTCCAGTGCACCTAGACTCCACACGTGAAACCAGCAAGCTGGAAGCGCGGCTGGAGGGCAAATCGGCAGTCTCGGAATATCCCTGAACTTGAAACCCGAACTTGGCCAACAGTTCCTCCTGCTCTCGGCCGAGTTTTGCGGCAGACCGGGTCTGAAATGCCGTGATGGACCACCGCTCACCCGTCCATGGTTCCACTGAATGGAACTTTCGAGGATCGAAAATGTTTAACTTGCCGTGGTGCTTCCTCAGACGACCGGGCACCTTCACTCCTTTGATCTCCTTCACCACGAGGCCAGCAGGATCTTCCTCCCAAAGCTCGCCTCCTTTGAACTGCCCGATCGCAATGCTGTAGTTCTGGCCGATATTGTTGTTGTCCTTGTGGGGTCCCACGGAAGCATTCCTCGAGACCACCAGAGAGGAGCGAGGTCCGAGTGCTCCTCGCGTCGTCATGAAGTGGTTCAGATACTTCAAGGTGTACGGCAGCCGGTAGGTAGCAAGGGTGATGCCGGCAAACTTCCCATAGGAGTACTGCCCGAGAACTTGATACGCCTCGCTGCCCCTCATACTCGGCCGCTTGATCCTCTGCCTCGGCCAATTGGTCTCGCGGAGAAGTCGTAGGCAGCTGGCGTTCGAATAATCAGACTCCTCAATCAGTTTGATGGCGAGCTTCTCCCCAGCGTCGGGAGTAGCTGACCCTGGCACTTCTGTCATGAACACTGCCGCCTCACCGGTGTCGTCGATGGCCTCCTCGGACTCCGTCTCGTCCGACTCCTCGCCTAGGTCCGTGGCAGTGAGGTAGCCCTGGTGCAGAGACACTCGCACTCGTCGGCCGTGATCACACAGATGTTGCTCCCAATTCTCGTTCTTCCAGGGCTCGAGTGGCACTGGAGCTCGAATATAGAACGACCTCCCATGGGAACATTGGTGCTTCGCGATCTCCAGGGCCAGTGCTGCCATGAGACCTGACTTGACATCCCGTCGGAGCTCGTCTGGATTCACATCTTCGGCCTTCCACGTCATGGAGACCACCTGCGGCTTCCGGTGGTCTAAGAAGTGTCGTAGCCGCCGGCGATGTTCCTTGTTCGTCACGTCCCAACCGGAGGCGAGCGTAAAGTTCTCATGCTCGACGGGAACGGCCATGCCCCTAGCTCGCGCGCTGGTAGTAGCTGACGTCTGGCGAAACACTTCCGCCAGGTCCACTTGCGAGCCTGAAATGGCCCTCTGCTCCTGCCGGGCCAGTCTGACAAGAGCTTCCGCGGCTCGTTTCACCTCTCTGTCGTCGACTTTCGCCTCGACTTCCTCGGGCTCCAGTGCTCTGGTCAGCCGCGGTGCTCGGACCAACCAATATGGCTCTTGTTCTGAAGAACCGCCGTCTTCGTTGATCCCGACGACAGCACTCAACGGATCACGTAGTTCATGAAGAAGCCGTAGACGCCGAGGGCAACACCAACGAAGTGCTCGATCCGCATCGTGCCCGTGAGCGTCTCCAGGTCCATGGTCGCGTGCCTCTCCAGCGCGGTCAAGTAGTTCATGCCACAGCACCACCTGTTCTGACGGTGCTTCTGCCTCAGTCGCCATCATCCATGGAAGACGAGTCCACGAGGGGGCCTGGCTAGCCCTCTTCACAGAGTGACCGACGGGAGGATGATGTAGCAGCCAAGTGTCTGGGTCTCCTCCAGCTTGTCGCACTAGCTGCTGCATCCCAGGCGCCATCTGTGACCAAGACACAAGCGAGGAGGACAAGGAGATCATTGGTATCGTCATCCACCGCGGCCAGTATCTCACGGCAGGTCGTCGGCATTCGGGTTCTCCTCGCGGTTCTCGGTGACCGGCGACCATTCCTCGGTCTCCGCGGTGTCCACTTGCATCTCCTGCAGGTCGTCGCGAGCCCGGGCCTGCGCCTCCAGAGCGGTCAGGTGATCGAGGCCTTGAGTGGCGTTCTGCTGCATCATCGTCAGCATCTGGCTCTGGCCTCGGGTTAGTTCCCTTAGAGTCTCGCCCACGTTCTGGAAGGAGATCGCCATCGCCTGCAGGGTCGCGCTGAGCTCCGGGTGGACCGGCTCGGGCCTGGGATCGCGGCTTGATCTCGCCGTGGACACCGTGCTCCTCGTAGGGGGCTGGAAGGCTCCGACCATCACGTCCGGAGTCGCGTCGACCGCGGCTGCTGGAGTTGTGGGCCGGGCTCGAGCCTTGCCTTTTGCCGCGGGCACTCTCTTCGACACATATGTCTGACGAGCGCCGCACTTTGAGCACACGGTCCACGTTGCATACTGGTTCGCCCTCCGGATGTGAGGAGGAGGGTGCAGACACGAGGCTGGCTTCTGAGCATCTGCCACCAAGAAGCTGCGCCGGTCCGACAAGATGCTCTTGTCCCGGTTCTCGCGCTCCGCCAGCCGAAAGTAGCGAGTTCGAATGGCCTCGACGAGGTACATCATCCGCACCACGAGCTGTCTCCATCGGCTCGCCGGTGCGCTCACTGTGCCCGTTGCCGCCTCCGCCGCAGGAGGGTGTTCCATGATCACGACGACGAGCACAGGTATCGAATTTGGGTCGGCCAGGGGCCGTCACGTTGCCCATTGGGGCGATTGAGCCTTCATGTAGTGGAGGCATGCATTGATGTTCTCCCTGGCTGACGATCCCAAACTGGACTGTGACACCACATTCATCATGCACATGCTTCTTGACAACTGCACTGCACTGTCCCTCACATGCGGTTTGGGCTCCCGGGCGAAGTTCTTGGTGCCTAGCTCTCCTCTCTCTTGGATCAGGTAGTCTACGATGGAGTTCTTGCGCTTTGTGTTGATTGGGCTCATCAGACATGAGGACTACCCTACTCTGAGAAGAAGTGCAGGCTGAAGAACGTGTGACCGCCCCAAAGACACTCTTTGTGTACGCGGAGGAAGTCGAACCCTCCTTCATAAAGGCGTCGTCATCAAGACTGAACTGCTCCTTGGCAGCTTCCGGGACTGGGAACTTTCCTCCAGTCCACTCCACCAGCGGGATTGCGCGGTGGCCCGTCGGAAGATTCGTCATCTTCATGTCCACGCCGATCTTGCGAAAGTGCTCGCGGTTGCTAACCAGGTCCATCTGGGCTCCCAAATGCTCGAGGAGCCTCACGGAGAGCAGAGGCGGAACGTTGTTCTCGATAACCACGAACTGAACCACTCCCGGGATGCCGCCAGGGGAAATAGGCACGAGCACGGTTTTGGACACCTTGGCCGAATCGCCGATGCCCGAGGGAGCCGTGCTTGTCGTCGGTACTTCCAGAGCCTGCAGTCCACTCCGTGCGAGCTCGTCCTCCAGGGCCTGAAGAGCAGGAAGCCCGATGATATCCTGGGTGGCACCAATGTCCAAAATGGCCATCCCCGATGGAATTGAGAGAAAAGCCCATGCTCGCTCTCGCTCAATGCCGTTTCCGCCCCCAGGAACACCGGATACGAGGGCCGCATCCAGTCGCCGAGGGTCATGTAAGACAGGAGCTCGGACTGCCCGGACTGGCCACTGCTTCCGGATCCCAGGTAGCAGAAGCCTTGCGTTTTGCCCGCTTCTCCTCGATCGCCACCGCCTCGTAGACCCGGGCACTCACCTTTCCAATGCCCTCGTCGCCCACAATTGTGGCATCGGGACAGCTTCTTGAGCTGATCCTTGGAGGCCTTGGTTCGAGGTCGATCTTCCCGAGGTGGAGGCTTGCTGGATGCTCCCTTGTACTCGCCGTGGCCTCCTTTCGAGAAGCTGGAGCGGTCCTTCTTGAGCTCTGCCTTGAACTTTTTGTTCTCCTTCCACGTGCACCTGCGGAATGGCATCCTGTTCTCCATAATCGCGAACACCAGGGCCGCCTGGTCCTCGGTGAAGTCCAGGCTCGTGAGCTCATAGAGGACGTTCTCGTCATAGGCGACCTCCTCCGGTGTGACATCTCCATCGCTCTCGCCGCTGGTGTCCTCGTCCTTCTGGGCCAGGTAGCTCGGGCCCATCGTAGAGGCATCGCCGGTCTCTGCAAAAGCGGTGATGCGATCCGTGCGAACATCCATCCGGGCGAGCATCGCCGCCACATGGTCGGCAGACCCGTCTCTGCCCTGTAACAGCGCCGTGAGGTTCTGAAGTCCTTGTTCTGTCAAGCCGGCGCCCTCCTTCAACATAGAGGCCTTAAACGGTTCGGGGATCACGATGCCGTAGAGTGCCGCCTTGGTGAAGTCCCTTGTCCGGCGGTTAACGTACTGCGACAGGCTCTCGTCCCGCCGCCGGCTGTTCTCCATCATGATACCGCGGAAGGCGGACCTCTCCTCGTCTTCCGCTCGCACACCGGCCTTCAGCTCGATCACGGATATAATGGCCTCAAGGTAGCGCTCGCTGGCCAGGAGCTCCTCCGGGAGGTGCTCAAAGTCCACTTGAAGTTCCCACCCCAGTGTCCGAAGCACCTTCTCTGCCCGACGGTTCATCGGGATGTCGGACAGCTTGTGCCATCTGCGCACCGAGGTGACCAAGAGGTCGCTCGTGAGGAAGAAGAGCAGGTGCTGGAGGAGCTTGATGAGGTAGTCCATGCGGTCGCTCGTGAGGAATGCCTGGAGGCAGCGCCGCGGTCGCGGGGCCGCTGGAACAGGAAAAACTCGCCGCCGTAGTCGCACTCCCAGCCATTGGTGCCGCTTGGGTTCCCATTGACGGCACGTCTCCATAGCCGGGCACACTTCGACTCGCAGTAGCCGCCTGCACCAGGCGCTGTGCCGCTTCGATCCAAGGATCTCCTGCGCCTTGAAGAGGATCAGAAGTAGCGGCCGTCGACGGCCTGGTAGTCGCCGTCAACCTGGTGTCAGGCGGTCCTGCCGTAGAAGAGGAAGCGGGTTCGGCGGCTTCTGGTGCGCCTGCAGCGTGCTCGCTTGCTTCCCATGTCGGGAAAACATGCGGATCGGCCATCCCCGGCCATCCGCCCTGTCCCCATGATTGGCTGGTCACCGGCAGCGGCGTAGTCATCGAAGCAGATGAGCCTCCAAAGGGGAGGCGTTCCCATGCGCCATACGCTGCCCATCTCTGCCAATCATCCCAAGTCTGTTGACTGCCGTCTCTAGCAAGCTGCGGGGTCCATGAGCCTTCAGCTGCTGCCATCGCACCACACTGAGCTTGTCGATCGTGAGCAAGGCCTAGCGGACCAAGCTCCGCTACCAACTGTTAACACAGTTGGAGCGACGGCATGCGACTGCAAGGCTGTTGACCTTCTTGCTTCTGCTGCAGGGCGGCTTGAGCCACCGATCCGCGATTCTCCTGTGCTGCATGAGCTGCAACGAACAACTGCTTTCCTGGTCAAGAGTGCACAACAAAGGCTTCAGGATTGTCTTCACAGGCAGTTGTGAGCACCTGCGGCGAGACAAGAGTCCGGATGGATGTATATGGAAGCACATCCTCCCTACAGTAGTAGCAGTGCACAGTTGTCCAACATGCTGGAGGTCAGAAATGCGTGAGACAAGGCAGCAGTCAAGTAATTGTCGTTGTTGAGTCGCTAATTGAGACTGCCAAACTCCAGGTGTCTACGATTCCAGTTGGTCCTTTCAAAGCGAGATAATTTGATGGGAACGGCAGGGTAGTATGATTTCAGTGTAACGCTACGCATGTTGGTGTCAAAATCAGTTCATTCAGTAATCTGGAGCTTGCTTCTTCTTGATTATATGTCCGAGTTGTCCAGGACCACATTTCAGAGAGTTGCAGCAACGTGTATGCAAGGCCACGAGATCGGATAGGTGGCTGTCGGACTTGTTTGGTAGCTCCTGCAGTGCAGATTGGGTGGCTGCAGGAAGTGTATGAGCCTTGGTGCTGGCGGTTTTCATTTCAGGTCAACCCGCTGTGCGTCTTCCAGAGGCTGTTTCCATGCCTACGGTCCAAGATGTGCACAAATCCCTCAACACCCACGCGGAGCCTGTATAGCCGCCCCATGCACTTTGAAGCCACGCACAAAGGTTCAAGCAATGGCACACTCTGGAGACACGTTGTTCGGTGCCAATGCTAGCGTACGGGTGGCAGCAAGTTGGAGGACTCCTGACTCGGGGGGAAGTTCGGTTCCCGCACCGAGCCTGGCTGTACGTGCCCATGAAGCTGCTAACCCTCATACTATTGCTTCATGCCCAGAAGCGCCGATCAGCTGGATGTGGTGCGTCCGCAGAGGACAGAGCACCGCCCACGGTCGGACTTCGATTGCGCCTGCTTTGACCGTTGCATCTGTCCCTGAAGAGGGGAGAACCTTTAGAGCCTCTAGTCAAGCCCAGTGACCCGGGCCCCCCAAAGCCTACCTCAGATGCAACACGGTCGCCTAGTGCTAGAGCAGTGCAAGCCAGTGGAACGTTACATGTTTTTTTTGTTTCATGTATGTTTGCTGGCTTGTGAATCTACACACTACCTGCAGTGTATGGCTCTAGCGCTAGAACTCGCGAACAAAAACCCCGCCCGCCTGCTCCAGGTACGTCTCCAGCTCACGGCTCGCGCTGACTTCGTTCACAGGTCGCCCAGACTCCTGCAAGGCAGGCTTCCTGCCTCGTCAGCTGTTCAAAAGCCTTGTCTGCTCAGGTGGCAAGATGAATTTCGCCTCTAGCCAAACTTGCTCGCAAAGACGAGCTCTTGCAGCCTGCTGCCTCAGGCTTCCTTGCCCTAGCCAGCCAGCCTGTGGTGACCGGGGCCCCTTCGGCTAGCCCACAGCCTACCTCAGATGCAACACGGTCAAAAGAAGTGAGTGCCTGGTGCTAGAGCAGTGCAAGGTAGAACAGACAAAGAACCATGCGAAACCAGCAGTGCAGCATACCCGGCGGTTTTGCGTTGCTTTTCGGTTCTGATATTTTTGTACTAAATTTCCGGGAGCTTGCCAAATCATAGAGGGTGCCTTACTTACAGTGCATGTGAACTGTGAGCTGTGTTGATCTAACTGCATGCCTTGTTCAGTCCTAAGACTTGCCTGTACCCATGGCATTTGCTGACGTGGATGCACTGCGGCGGGAGCTCAAGGCGGAACAATATGGGGTGTTTGCATTGGTTTATGGGATTCAGCGTGCTTGTCTGGTGTGCAGAAGAAATGTATCCGCACAGAAGTTTGTTTCCAGGCTTGCACCGTGGGCAAAAAATGGCACCACATACATATGACCTCACATGTTTTCTTTCTAGCTTTCTGGTCCGCATGATGACTGCCAGCCGTTGGCCAGGAGGCAGAGGCAGAGTTGGAGTTCAAGGACTTAGAGATCCAATGCTGTTACCCAGGCCAGGAATCGGTTCATGCTGCCATGAACCCAGCGCAGATTGCACAATCACAGGTGGTCGCGTTCTTTTATTGTGTTATGGTATCAAGTGTTATTCGTATATTGCAAGCCACTTCAGCCCGATGCCATGCCACTCCGCAACATGTACAGCAACAGCATGTTCGGAATCAGCACATGTCATTCCGTTGTCAGCTGGCCTGGACAGCTGCGACGATCCGCCGGCTCTGCTGCAGGAGTTGGGGGATGCATTGAACAGGATTGTTGCCGAAGCACAGGAGGACGGAAGCATGTTTCGTTTGCAAGACACACTGATTAGGGTGCTGATCATCGTTCCGACGTCATCTGGGGTCGTTGCGCTGCAACGTTCCAGCATGTATATCATGAAAATGTGGTCGTCCAGCCAGGAATACAAGCGCCTGGAAGCAGAAATTACGCTTTTTCAGGCCGGTCTTGTGATTTCATGAAAGGCACGGTGTGATTGGATTTTGTGGTAGTCGGGTGGGGTACGTGATTTGACAGGAAGAACATCAGACGAGCAGTCGCCTGGAAGGGCCTGCAGTCCAGGATGCCAGTGCGATTATTTTACCTTGTTGTTCTGTCATCTTTCATGTGCCTCGCGGGGAGTTGCCAGGAGCCTGGCCCCAGTAGTTCCAACATGAGGCAGCGGGTGTTCGGCCTTGAGGAGGAGCTGCGGCACAAGTGCGAGGCCGCTGCAATAAAGAGAGCAGTGACAACAGTGCCAGTGCGACGGTGTTTTTTCACTGTTGGTTACAGGCAAGCAGGTGCTAAGCTATCCCCATGCCCAATTGAAACCCTGAACGTGGTTCGGTGCTTGTGCCCGGCACTGCCAGGTGGTTCGGCGTTTGCGACAGCGCGAGCTTTGGTTTGAAATGCAACTGCGACGGCAACAGGATGCCTCTTCGACCTCTACTTGCTTACCAGTCTTTTTATCTGGCTTGCTTGGATCAAGATGTGTGAAGCAAAGCGGATGTTTTCCTCCGGTGCAGGAAGCCCACGGAGAGCCGTTGTCCCTCCTCCTGGAGCAGGCGATGCTCTTAGTCCTGTGTTGGCATACTAAAAGACCATGCTGAATGCTAGAAACTAGGCGGTGCAGTTGCTTTTGCTTTGCAATTCATCGAACTCACATGAACACCTATTGCTTCTGACTTATTTTTCTTTCGCACGCTGCAGAGGGAGTCCGCAATGCGCACCGTCGGACGGTGATGTGTGTCAGCGGCTACTCTAGGCAGCACATCCATTTAGTCCCACTGGCTGTCAAAACATGACTGATTGTTATCACCTGCACGGGACAAGGTGTGCGCTGCTTACTTGTTTCTTCAGGTCAACGCTTTGAGAAAGTCGGTGTTTGGATACGGGCGACTGGTCGATCCAAGAGGTGAAACACAAGCACACTCCTCAGTAAGGTTGAGCTTCTCCTTTTGTGGTCATGAGACAAGTTTCCCGTTGCTTCCAACTGAGATCGAGAGATTTGCTGACCAAAGCTGTCGGCTCTTCGCCTCTTGCTCTGGGCAATGCTGGCTCCTGGGTTTGCCTCCCGGCGGTTCCGTTCTGCGAGGAAGCCGAAGGCATGAGAGTTCCACAGGTCATGAAATGCATGCTGATCCGACTGAGTTTCCATTCGTGCCGGTGGGCACATCTTCTGTGAGCATTTCGAGCGCTTCGCTTGTTGCACTGTGGCACAGTAGCAGATGCATGGCTTTCATGCTTTTGTGACTTAATCGATGGCACAAGTTGCTTGACCCACCCCCTGACCTTCCTTTTTGGATCTAGCTTGCTCATTATCCCGAACAGGGCAATGCCAGGCCACACTCAGAGCCGTCGAGCGGCGGCACGAAGCTGGCGGCAAGCTCGAGCGAGTCAAACGTGGCTCCAAGGGTCGGAAGCTCAGACTTGAACGGACCATCCCTTACCAACAAATGGCTGCAGGCGTGCGCCTATGGCATCTTGACCAGAGCCTTCAATGCCAGGCTGCTGCCGATCCACTCCTGCAATTGACGCAACAGCTGCGAGCACAGGTATCCGTCAGGAGCCTCAGTATTCGTCTCAGGAGGTTTGTCGAAGGGCTGGGAGACTGCTCTGCCCGTTCGTAGCTTGACCGGCGAAATGAATCCGGATTGTTACTGCTGAGGAAGGCCATGTTGGTAGGCATAGCGAGAGTTTGCACACTTAGTTGTGCGGTGTGGGCGGTAACTGTGGCATTGAAGTCTTGCAGTTGACTCTTAGGTTTCACGTCCCTGAGCTCGAAATGGAATGGTTGCGCACCGGACTGGCACCTGGAAGCGCTGGCAGTA